AAGAGAAGCACCTCTATCGAAGCACCCACACTCCTTCTTTCGTACCTCATCTATCATTCGTCTATCGAAGATGGCCGTTTCCGACGATGGCATTGACGAAGGCATTGACGGAGAAGACGATGGCATTGACGACGAGGACGAGCATTGACGAAGACGGAGGCATTGACGAAGAGGATTACGAAGAGGATACGAGGTATTACGATCATGATAGGGACTTCCAGATCAAGCACGTTGACCATTACAAGCAGGTTGCCGTAACGGACTTCTTCAAAAAGAAAGCGAGGCGTGGACGGCCCAAGAAGAGAGCGACTCTTGCCAGCGACACAGCGCAAGTGAGGATGACGAAAGGTCCTGGCCGGCCAAAAGGATCCACCAAATTCAAGACCGCTGCGGAGAGGAAGAAAGCCGTCAAGAAGAAAAAGGCACCACCAGCGAAGAAGGCTGCTCCTGCCGCAAAGGCCGATGTGCCAAAGAAGAAGCGCGCAAATTATTCTACAGTAGCGAATAAGGAGAAGTTTGAATTCGCCAAGGCGGAGTGGTTCGCCAAGACTGGAAGGGCATTCTAGCTAGTGTATTTTTTAAAAAAGTTCGCACACAGTTATAATTTGAGTCACTACATGTTAATGTTTGCTCTTATTTTATATTGCTACAAATTTAGCTAGCTATCAGGAACGACCATACCACGATGACAGCACCGCTTCCCGTCTGCTCAGCGAAGTTAAGCATCGTCGGGCCAGGTTAGTACTACGGTGGGGGACCACGTTGGAATCCCTGGTGTTGTTCTTTTTATTGCTTTGGATTGGATGACATGTTTTTTATGGAGATATCCACTCTTGGAGGACGCTTTGTGCATTGTCGTAGAACATTTTGCGGTGCTTCTATCTGGCTAGTTACAATGATGGTCACCAGCCAGAGCTAGCTAGTGAGCACCAAAATGCATCTCGGCGCCCTTCAGAATAGCGGTTTGTGTATTACTATACTGATCGGCGGCAGGTACCGCTACGGTACAAGTGACAGTCGATTAGGATTCAAATTATCAACAATTCATTTGACAAAGGCAACAAAAATCAGCTGAATCGGATCTGCTTTTTGCGGTTCGTGGCTGATTGTCCTGTGCTACTACCGTACGCCTCTCACTCTATCAAAACCCCTGCGCCTTTTCGGGTTGCTGTCCGTCCACAGCTTTTTGCAACTGCGAATATTCCTGTTCCACAATCGTATCTACAACCATACCCGCTAATTTTTGACCGCCGCGGGGAGCAATGTACGGGCCAAAACTCACGGGGACCTTCTTTTGGTGGCTACCAGTACCAGCATCCCATACTTTGCCACGGATAAACGATTTGGCACAATGGAAAAAGGCATATTCGACGTGAATTTGAAGCACCAATGTGGCCGGACACCCTCGGACTTGTAGTTGTTGACACAATTGGGGATTTTTCGTCAAGGTGGCCGTGCCACCCAGTCGTAATGTCGTGTTCGTGCCGGATACAATGGCGCACAGACCGATTTTAGGGTTTGTCAAGAGATTTTGAAATCCAAACAGTAATCGATTGCCGGGTCGATCGGGAAGGAGCAATTTGTGTGGACCGGCCACATGAAACAGCGACCCCGGGGGATCTCCTTTGGGAGATACTTGGAGATGACTAGTAGTAGCGTTTTCGTCGTCAGCGTCGTCGTCGTCTTGTTGGGGGGACATGGTGGCCAAGAAGCAGAGATTGGAATGTCCCAAGAATTCCTTCATTTGATCGTCGATATGATCAATCACCTTGACGGCATTGTCCATTCCCGAACCACTCATTCCAGCAGGAATCACACTTCGAAGCTGCTCCAATGTACGGATCGTGTGCTCATCGTCGTCGGCATCGTCGTCATAGTGGTAAGCATCCGGACTAATAGAAGATCTGTTTGTTGCCGCAAGTTTCAGATATAGCATCACCGATCCTGCAACCGCGGCCGCAGACAGGACCAGACCGGGAGGCAACGAAGGGATGGTGAACTTGACAGTATATCCCATGGTCTCTATCTTCGATCTTTGACGTTTCGGGCTTCAGCTGTTGCTGTTTTGCTGTTAATCGAAGATTCTTCAGTCATGGATACCATACCCAAAAGATCCACCGGGTTCTCGTACCAGCTAGTTTTCTTGACCGCTCTGGACATCTATCTTTGCTTGCTACAAAGCCAACTAACTGACCGACTAATTCTACCAAAAGCTACGTCCTATCGTGATCTTTACAGGCTGTCTAAGAGATGCCCCAAGCCAAGCTGGCACCTACCGTATGTGGCTGATCTTGGCGCGTGTTCATTTTTCTGGTCCAACAGGTGCCAAAAACGTAACATCTACTATACCGCACGGAAGGCAAAAATCCCATCAAGCTCAGGGCACATCCTTCTTGTTGTCTTTGTTGCTGCTTATGGCACCACTTCCGGCAGTGTTGCCAGATCTCCGGGCTACATTGGATAGTGAGCCTGTAAAGCCAGGAAACCGCAGCAACTCCCAATAACTTGTTTGGTCATCATGGGCTCTGGCAGCTTCGCAGACGTGGAATTCCACCACCTCACCACTTTTGGGATGATGAGCGTTCTATGTAAAAGAAAAGAAAGACAGTCAGACAGTGCGAGCAGTGAGTGGAAAGGCATTCAACATGAGCAACCACAAGTGAGTAAGTGTGTTCATGTATGTGTACGCACCGTCAGACAATTGTCCAGCGTGTACCCTAGATACTGTCCGATTTCAAATCTGCTAGGTTCTGTAGGATCGGAACTGGGAGTAAAGCTACCACTCAGGGCAAAGAATCGCTGGGTGGGATCGTTTGGGTCGCATTCGGTAGTTACATAAATAGCACTGGCACGTCTGTACAGGCAGTGGTGGTCGAGCGTTTTGATGAGCACCTCTCGATGATCTTGGCTTCCACTGTATGCGCTTCCCAAATCGTCAAAGAAGAACCATTGCCGTTCGTCTCCACTCAAGCATTTCCCAATATAAAGTTGGGTGGATGTACAGTTACGTTCCTCCAAGCCGTACCAACAAACTCTAGTGAGCGAGGGAAGAAACATGATGGGGACAAAAGGCAGTGTCAGCAGCATCCTCGCGATCATTTTTGCCAGCTACAACCGTCATTCTCATGTTTCACTCACCCGCTCCCTGGATAGCCATCATAATTTGAAACCATACACCACTCTCTGTCCAAAGTTTCATTCTGCCTACAGGAAATCAAAAAGTGTGAGGAGGATTGATACTCTCACAAGAAACAAAAAGTAGAACATCGTTGGAAGCTCATTCATTAACGTACCAGTAGTATCCTTCCTCCCAGTACAATTTGATGTGAAAAGCACCAAAAGGAAGCCTTGGGAGTGGCGGTGGTTCAGGGTAGCTGGTATTCCATGCGCAGACATCATAGCCGATGACTGCCTTGTCACCACCATCGCAGAATGGCACTTCTTCATTGGAGTCTCTCGCAAAGCAATACAATCCTTCAGAGCAGTCGTCTTCCAGGTTGTTTGTAGGTGGGATGTGAGATTCGGATCATGTTCGGTGGTTGAAATCTTGGTGCTCTTATGGTCCCATCGTAGGTTATGAAAACTCACCGTCACTGTCACAATCTCCTTCACACACTTTTAACATGAATGCCATGGATGAGAGATGAGAATGAGCCACTACTGCATAATACTAGTACTAGTCGGAAAGCGCCACTGAGAAAGAAACTCACCCAGTAGGGGATACCGAGAATAGAAGATTCCATTGTTTCCCACGTATCGGACCGATCCAAAGGACGTGGGGATCGTCAGACTGCTACCGCCACCGCCACCACCACCACCACCACCTCCAGCGCCCTCTCGATCAGCTTGGTCTACAAAGCCAGCAGAAATAAAAGTCCGAAGATCGCGTTCCTCATGGTCGCCATCATTTTCCTCGATCTTGCGTAGCCTACCCGCTGCACCTGCTAACAAGAGCACAAATACCCATGCCGCTCGTGTCAACCACCACCTCATCGACCGTATTTTCGTCAACCAATCGATTGTTTCACCAACTTATGATCCGTTCAGGAGGTTGGAGGGAGGCGAAGATGATTCCGGCAACGGAAACCTTGTTTTTGTCCAGCAACCGGACATCTATCTTCCCACGGAACAAAGGAAGCGGAATCATGGAAAAGGATAGGCGGAGAAAGAGTGCGTGCGGACTGACGTTGCTACCGTACGGTACCAGAAGGGGTACCGGTACATCGTACCTGGTACACGTGCAGTACAACTGTAATCCGGCACGACCAGTTTGACTGGATCCATCCAATGACAACAGTCGCGAACAGCGTCGAATGATTGAATGTCATTCAATCGAATTTGTGATGGCGCGACCAAACCCGTCAAGGACAAAAACTTTGCTCAACGTTTCAGGTAGCTATGGTAAATATAATGGAATTATCTATTAGTTTTTACGTTCACCAAAGGAATATTGTTACCGCATCTACCTGCTACGAAGCAGTCTTGCTCTGTTTTGTGTGTGCTTTGGAAACCGCTTGAGAGAAACCGTTGCTTTTTTCACCTGGAAAGAGGGCAAAGAGCACAACCCGTAAAGAAAGGAAGCCATTCCATTCATCCAACACTTGTGATTGATAATAAGAGAAGGTCAAGCCATGAGCCACAACACTGCACCCAGCGGACACCGAGGCTCTGGTGTTAGTATCTTGACTCGCCGTTCCAGCGTCGCCCTCAGGCGCAAGGAACAGTTACATGTACCGGTATTACTAGACAGCCCAGATGCGGCGGTTGTTCCCGCCACCAAAGAGGAGGAAGATCCTCTGACGGGTTTTTGGATATATCCAGAGCTCATGGATATCCTGGCACTGGTGGCGGCCATGAGTTTAACAGTCAACACGACGTCGATATTCTCCTTTACAACAGAAGACATTTCACCAGCCGACGATCGATACACAGAATTCCTCGGGAGTTCCATGTTCGACCCTCTACCCGTATCCAGAGGCCTCATGGTATTCTCGGCACTCGGAACATCGCTCAGCAGTCTCTCCTTGGTCATGTCGGTGTGTGTGCGAATCATCTTGACCTATGCTGTCAACACTAATACAAGATCTCGAAAACGAAGATTTCTGCTGCAATGGGCAAATCCAATGTCCGTCTTTGTGGTAATTATTTGGAACCTAGCCATTGGGTGTTCGGCAGTGACGGTATACTTTGTTGGATGGGTTGTATTCCCCCCAGAAATTGCTCGTAGTGCTTTCCTGTTGGCTTGTGGCATCGCCTTTATGCTGGGTCTTTTGCTCCTCTTTGTGCTGGCCGTCTTCATGGTTGTACGATCCATCCACCTGGACAAGGAAGACAGAGAGGAGATACAGCGGGGAACATCAATCGTCAGAAGCATGATGGATCCAAGTGCTACAGAACAAGAATCAGCACGACAATTGCATGGAACCAGCACAAGAGGATTTTCTCAAAGGGATACCACGAATCATCAAGTTTCCGCGTCTGATCTCTCGCTCTAGCTAGCAATTATAGACAAGCCGTGGTAGACAGGTCCAAAGAATGCTGCTTCTTCTGAACATCGTCACAGCACACACGTGTGTACCAGTACCCAGTAGATCAACTTTATTCATTGTTCTCAATATCCGTTCCCAAAATCCAAAACCAAAACATGCACACGATGCAGTAACTGTTGGATTAGGTTATGGGATTCCAGGATAGGAGGCCAGGCCCTATGGGTTTTGCCCTCCAACAGATATGGTAGATAACCATAATCTTTATAGACTTTGGTTTTGTATGCAATTCAACCTTCCTAGTAGACCAAGTCTTTATCTAGTTACCTGAAGGGTACTTGGAAACTTGGAGAAGCTAGTGAATTCAACAGTCTATAAAGATTACTCGCACTCAAGTGTCGATTGCAGTGATCTGCGTCTCAAAACAAGAGTGCAACCACGAGTTCCAATCCACCGGATGGAACCAGGTCAAGTGGGGATACCAATAGTGGTTCCTCGACAAGGACTGGTGGCAGTAACAATCGAAGAAACAACCCTCCAAGACAAGGACGCTTCATGGGAAGCACCGAAGAATTGAAAGGGCATATCTTCGACTGCTCCGGTTACAACCAAACAGATGTGTTCACCAAAACGCTTGAACAGATCTCAATCTACATTGGTAGCAAATACTCTCAAGGAGGACCTATGGCTAAAGCCGTGGAAAGGCTTGAACAGCCAGAAATTACAATGCCTGAATCCCCAGCAAACTACGGAACAGATCAATGTGATGCAACCGAAAAATATATGTGGGAACAAGAGGCAAAAGAAGTGATCAAAGATCGAAAGACACTTGCAAATCAAGTGCAACAACTATATGCTCTCGTGATTGGCCAATGCACAGATGCAATGATGGCCCGTGTGGAAGGACACAACGAGTTTCCAGCAGTGTCTGACAACCGTAATGGAATCAACCTACTGAAAATCATCCGCGGGATATGCTTCAATTATCAAGACCAGAAATATCGTGCTCAGTCCATCTACGAAGCCAAGCGCAGACTATACGCACTCAAACAAAGCAAACACGAGACTGATGCGGCCTATTATCAGATTGAAGTGATCATCCAGTGTGGAGGGTCTATCGGCCTGGAAGACGGACTAGTGTCCGCAATTTGCACTGAAACGAACATCGATCGTGCACAAATCACCAACGACCAAATGAAAGTCGTTATCAACACGTCCGAGGATGCAATCGCGGCAGAACATATCTTCGGACCAGATCTAGGATCCCTCAAAGGGAAGACAGTTCGGAAGTCCCCTCACTCGGTGATCAACCCAATCACGCCAGTACCGATGGAGATAATGGAAAGATACCAGTCGGTCACGCTTAGCGGCGACATCATGAAGGTGAATAAGATTCCCTTCATGGTAACAATCAACACAGCCATTAAATTCGGCACAACGGAAGTCATTAAGAACCAAAAGGCAACAACCATCATGACCGCCATCACGCATGTCTACAACGTGTATAGAGGACGCGGCTTCAACGTGAAAGACATGGGAATGGACGGCGAGTTCGAACCACTCCGTGGCAACCTTGCATCCATCGGCATCACCCTCAACACAGCATCACGTGATGAGCATGTTCCTGACATCGAGCGCAGGATACGGACAATCAAGGAGCGGGCAAGGTCGACATACAACACCCTGCCATTCAACAAACTACCTGCACAAATGACAGTGCAGATGGTGTACCACAGCAACTTCTGGCTGAACGTTTTCACTCCGTCTCCAGGAGTGTCTGGGCTAATCAGTCCACGTGAGCTGATGACTGGCCAACGAATCGACTACAACAAACACTGCAAGCTCGAGTACGGAGCCTATGCACAAGTCCACGAGCAGCATGACAACTCGATAACTTTTAGGAGCGAGAGCTCTGGATCCCGTCAGAGATAGCTCCAACAGCTATGCTGGCCTACAGCTCCAGCATGCACAGTTGGCTTATCTCCAGCAAAGCAGCAAGAAAGGATCGTCCTTTCTACCATAGTTAAGAAAATAGTACGAAAGATTGAGACCGATCCTGATTAGCTTGTAGCCCCTTTGATACCGCAGCAGTTGATACCTATCCTGTTGAGGCCGGGCAGAAGCAGTAGGAGGTAGCAGATAGTACTGTTCCCAGACTGCCACTGCACGATTGAATAACGAAGGCCCCCAGCTCCTGAGGAGAGCTGGCCCAAAGGGCCCAGCAGAGAGCTCTGCTGGCCCTCCTGTCTGACTGACAGGGCCAAGTCCTTGGTTTGGTGCCTACTGGAGGTGTTGGAACACTCCTGAGGCACGAGAAGGCTCCCTGAACTGCCTGACTACCGCTGTCCCTGAGGAAGCGTTTCAGCGAGACCCAGTCCACTACTTGAGTATTGGAACTGAACCTTCAAGAAACTTATTGGATTAACAGTCGCATAGAATTCAGGCAGTTTTAAGGGAAGGAGAGTCTCCAGGCCGACAAGGAGCTCTCCGCATTACAACAATCAGTGCTACACTACAGTTACAGTTGGCTTCATTGGATTTGACAACTGGATTTCAAGGCTCCTTTTTGAAGTCCTAATGCAATACACGGCTCTTAGCCTTATTCGCGACTCGATCCTAGATAGGGTTTGAGTTCGACTCATGACTGAGTCTTTCGTGAATAGTCACTGAGACAGGGTTCTCATGACCGCTAGTTATACTAGGTCGATGGTGAAACATCGCGCTAGATATTTAGCTGGCGTGGAGAGATTCCACGCTACTAGATAAATGCTAGACGAATCTTCCACGCGTTCCGTTTTTGGATCGTGGAGTGAGTAGGATTGCTACCGCAACCTACTCTATCACACTCTACAGTCTCCCGCGGAGTTCAGATCTACGATCCTTTGTTGGATCTCTCTCGTTGATTAGTTTCATAGCTTTCTAATCCTTCATAACTTCATTCTCTCAAACTCAAAACACTCGAAAGATCTTTACACTAGCTTTTAGCGTAGTGCATTTTGTTAACAAACACAATAGCTTTCAGCTACCCTCAACCTATTCCTCACCATGAAGATTGCAAAAACGCGTACACCAGCTTCGAGTCTAAGCTGCGCGACAAACCAATCCTTCCTCTCATCGACCGCGACGATGAATGCGAAATCGACGATTCTCGCTCACCCACCTACAAACTTCGCACTGTTCCAGCAGATGCTAACAGCGCCAAGTACAACTTCAAGGTCCAAATCATCAATGGATCTTAGACTCCACGTCAGACCATCAAGTGGGCTGGAGCATGGAGAAGGTCTTCGTCGGGCTTGCCATTGCTAAGCCTGACGACAAACATAACCTCCTCAGGAATGACTTCTAGCTCTGCACAAGAGCAGTTACGAATCTAGCTGTGCAGGCCACCGTGAAATACGTTGGGATGCCTGCGCCCAGATTGCAGTCAACGCGATTCCTCACGCGACATACGTGGCGGGAAGACGAAGCCGTTTCCAAGCACGTTTCCAGGCTGGCCTGGAACGGGCAGTCAGCCTGCTTTGGACGATGCTGACATACGTTTGGCATAAATGCCTGCATCGAAGCGGCCTGTCCCTACAAGGCCCTTGAAAAGCAAAACGCTTCATGCGCCGCAAGATGCGTAGCCTGCTGATATGACTACTCGGCTATGTCAACAACCTCAGTCGGATGAACGCCATGAACTTCCTCGTCTACCACCTTTTGGACCCAACCAAACGTTAACCATGACGAAGTCATTGACATTGTTTGTCATGGAATTCCACGCTCGTGGATGAAGAAGATGACGAACACGACTTCGATCCTTTCTCGCCCTATCGAGAAACCATTGGATTCTGCAAACGCATGGAATCCTCCGAAGACTTTTACAAGGGCGGTGATGCCAACAAGCTACTTCGAAGAAGACAACAGCAAGAAGTACAAGTCTACCTCGCACAACGACACTCTTCCAAGAACGAAGAAAAATGGTGCGACTACACGAGTCCAGCACTCAAAACACTGCTGACTGCATGACTAAGAAGCTCAAGGCCAAGTCTCAGTCCTCGTCTGACAACGATAACCAGCCAGCGTTAGGCAGATCTCTCTCCTTT